GGGAGCCTCGACAGGTGACCAGGCCAAGTCTACGTCTCCTACTTCTGCAACCGACGTTACCACTAAGCCAGTAATTGAGCACAGGGAAGCTTCGCCGAAAACCACAGCGGCGACCCAGTCCCCAACAACTGCACCACCCTCATTATCAACAACCGAACAACCAAAAGGAACGGGATCCACATCTACCTCTGATCGCCCTGAGACTCTACCAAAACCAACTGCAGTGGCAAGCAACCTCACCAAGGTTATCCCAGAAGATTCGGGAATTTCTACCGTTCCTGATCTTTCTAAAACCACACTAGAAGCTGCTTCATCTTCCCCAACCGCTACACCTACAACAGGGCTTACAGGAGCTTCTCAAGCCGCAACAACGACAGGCTTTTTGGGAGCGACAAACGAAGCACTATCTTCTACTACAGAACTGCCTAGGAAAGTACCAGTCAAGCCTCTAGACCTGGAAGGTGCTAAAGCCACAACGACCCCAGGCTCTTCAACAGCAGGAGGTCTCTCTCCTACCACAGAAAATCCTAGAAACGTATCATCTGGGGCAGGAGACGTGGAAAGTGTTAAACCTACAACGATCGCACCGACCTCAGAAACGCCAAAGGAGGGTATTCCTACTGCAACAGAACTCCCTGGAAGCGTATCATCTGGGGCTGGGGACCTAGAAGGAGCCAGAGCCACGACGACCGCAGGTTCCTCAGAAACCCCGCAAGAAGGTTCCTCTTCCACTACAGGACTGCCTGGGAGTGCATCTTCTAAGCTTCCAACGACCAAAGGTGTGGGTTCTTCAGCCACTCCGACCAGCAACCCACCGGAGGAGTCCACACAGGGAGTATCTGTTACAACTGAGCTGCCTACTACTCTCACAGGAACTGCCGATCTTTCTAAGACAACATCAGAAACGACGGAAAGTCCTCGAAATGTCACAGTGAGCAAAGGAGACCTAAAGACCCCACAGGAGGGCCGTTCAGTGTCTACCAGATCGCCGGTTGAACTAACAACCAAACAATCGACAGGTGTTGAAGCTACTGGAGATAGTGACCTTCTTGGAACGACTCCCAAAGCTCAGCCTACCACTTCGGAGCTGCCAACTGAAACAACTGCTTCGGGATCGACTAGCACCTCCTCGACTCAACATTCCACAGCTAAAACTCCTGGAGCTGAGATCAGCTCCACTGCGACGTCTCCTGGCCTAACTTCTGGTGCATCAAGCACGACTCAAGCAGCTGTGACACCTGCATCATCTACATCGCACCATCCCACTGCAGCCGCTACGATTATACCAGATTTCCCTGAAGGACACGAGAATGAGATTGTAGACGGAAAACGGCCTAGCAGTACTAGTGGAGCCGCACAGACAACAACATTTGGAGCTACACTTGGAACCTCCTCTGAAACCACTCCGATTCCGAGTGGTTCCACCCCTAAAGGTGTAGCCTCCGAAGGACTTCCGTCGACGCCGAAACAACATCGTGAGCCAGTCACCGAGGATCTTGAGGAGACAGCAACTGACGTGAGTTGGGATGAATTGTGATTGCTCGGAGTTTCTGCTCTTGTTGCCCTGAACTGACTGCTTTTCAACATTTCCAAAGTTTAGTTACAACTTTTAAAACCCTAACAAGTAAGAGTGCATGAACATCTATTTCGTAGCTAAAGCATAACAAGAATGGCTTAAAATTCCCATTCAACCTCTGTAATGCATCAACTTGAGATCTGAGCTTTCATAGTTTATCGCTTAGAGGATTTCTACTGCTCTCTTAAAACTACTTTTGCAGACTCTCCCCACCAAGGACACCTTCGTGCTCACTACAGTTCCCACTCCACGAGCTCCAGAACTAGGACCCAGGTAATTCAAGCCGTAGTTCGGAAAATTGCAGCTCAAGCTTCTCCTTCCCACAAGTTAACTTGAACTCCCGGTTTGTCAGAGACCTGCTCTGTCATATATTCGAGGCCGGTGCCTGACTTTGCGAATCGTATAGCGAATCGCTCGATACACAAAGTCTTGCACCGGCGTAAGAACGATACAAGCACCACAAGAACCACGAGACTCGGTAAACTCGTGGCCTTGCAGATTTTCTAAGCAGTGTAGCTCAGTGGTGCTAGTAGGTAAAGGCAATGATTATGCTGGCTGGAGAGCTGCGCGATTTTCGGCGCTCATCAGCGGGCTAGATCCATCAACTCGTTTAGGGATTGGGTTTGGGACCGCTTCTGAACATCCTTCCGCCAATGACGCTTAATGACGCCATCAAAACCGCACGCGCTTGCATCAAGTCGTTAACATGCTTTTCAAATTGAGACGCTAAATTAGCGAGTTATCAGATTCAAAGAATTGATGCGCATGTAAATATTTCAGCATTACGAACAAGTGACGAGGCAGTGACCAGTGTGGAGACGACGCGTATTGCGAAAGAAGGACTGGTGCATGCCGCTGTTATCCAGGATTCGAAGGAGCGCCTCCTACGAGAGAATGTAAAGGTAGGCACAAACACTACACACCACTCTCTTGGAACAGCTGACACCTTAACTTTCTTCTTTACAGCCGGGAATACCCTAAAGCTCACGAGAAATTTCCAATCTTCAATTCATGATTCTAATTGCTCTAGAACTTCACGTAGCTTCTCAAAGGCACATTCCGCAATTTCCTGTAGGGTTATGGTGCTCTGTAAAATCTATGAGCTAGTTCAACGCTGATCTTTTGGTTGAAATTGGGACCGTTCTGCTAGCCGCCGACCTTTTCTTGCAATAGGATGAAATAAATAGGAGGGGTCGATTGGAAAGATGGCCATAAAATTCGCCCATACGATTAGCGTGTAAGGTACTTTTCAGGCTTGTTCTGTTTACTCTCTTTATTACCAGTCGACCAAACATCACATCTAGTTCGTTCTTGAGCAAAATAACCCTTCACCCTTGTTGACGGTGCCTTAAAAAGTAAAATACCACTAATCCATAAACTTCTGCCACAGATGATTACGATTTGCGTGACTTCAGGTGGTGTGAGCAATATCGTTAAGTAGTGCTACCCTGAAGGGGGGCGGGGACGTGGGTGCTTGCGGTGATCCACGGAATCGATTTTAGCGCGAGAGTGAACAGACCCTCTGTCCTAGTTACCGACCACTACATAGTAACCTACCCTAATGATTGGACGAAAAATTGATTAGTGCATAGGTTGTTCAGAAGTTTACTGATTATGCCAAGCTGGAACGCCAGCATAAGTATAGATGGTAGTCGAGTGCGTGGCGCATCATGAAAGTGAATGGACCAACATCAAGCGCTTTACCTTTTTATAGTGATGGTCATTATGCCACTAAAGAATGTGCTTTATCAAAATATTTAGATGTGGATGAATGCGCAACTGGCCTTCATAAATGCGACGAGAGTGCCAGATGTCACAACTACGTTGGTGGATACGCGTGCTTCTGCCCAATGGGCTATAGGAAAATGGACAAGGGCGTATGCGTGGGTGAGTCTCCTAGATGTTCTCCAGGTACACACGAAGATCGATCGATTGCAGCCTAGAGGATCAGAGCAAATCGGATGAGAAAGTTTCGAAATATTCATCTAGTGAAAGAAGAGAAAAAAGAAAGAAAATTCAAACAAAGCACGAAATTATTGATTGGAGTGCCCACGAATATTGTATGCATATGCTCTGAGAGCTTCGGTGTTGAAGTCGTCTGGCACCTGATTCTGGTCGAAATCTGTAAAGATACGAAGTTATTACGCTTTTTACGTACTTTTCGTCATGTATTATCTGGAAGCAGGGTCGGTCCTACGTTGCTACAAGTAGCAACGGGGGGTCGTACTTTGATGAGTTTTTAGAGGGGGGTCGTACATTTTGATGAGTTTGTAGAGGGGGGTCGTATATTTTGATGAGGTTGTAGAGGGGGGGTCGTACTTGCTTCGATTGTGAGAAGTTGCATGAGGTTTGGGCGCGCTAGAATGATTACCCCTTAAAAAATGAAGCGTGGGATTAAAGGTAGGAGGGGGTAAATTGGTGGAAATTTAGGTAATTTTTACGGTTTCAGAGTGACTATATACCCCCCGCTCGACGGCATTTTTGGAGGAAAAAGTGGGCGGAGTTTTCGTGGTTCGAGTGATACCAGAATGAAATACTATAGCGAGGAATATGGTGGTCGAGGGTCGAGAGGGGGGTCGTACCAAATCCACCTTTGGGGAGGGGGGTCGTAAAAATTTTTCGAAAAGTAGCAACGATAGGACCGACCTGGTGAAGTAAACCAAGACCAACGATTTTCAGAAGAAAACGTAATAGAATGAATAAACATCAAGACATTCAGATCCACAATTTGCACGCTACCCATAACATGGAGGTTTCTACCAGCTATGGGGCAAAGAAAATTAAGTCAAGGAAGAAATCACCAATTCTTGAGTCGTAATTTTGGGGCAGCTACCTAAAAAACCATCGTAAAGTTGAGTAAAGGTGACCAAAGGCTGACCTTACAGCGACAGGCATTCGTGTTTCTACGTGTCGACGACAAACATCCTAGAGGTTAGAAGATCTACGACATAGCACAAAGCGTCAATGACGATTTCAAGATACTGGCTATTACAGAAAACTGCGATTTTTCCGTTCACGCTCATAATACGTCACGAGGTCTACAAGGCCACGCCTTTAGCTTATTTCCTACCAACAGGTTCTTCAATGTTTTTCAACCGATCCTTACTGTGCATCATGGTAATCAAAAAATGGGTTTCATCCGACAACTTCCTTGAGACAGAATGTCAAATATGCTCTCAGAAGAATAGTAATAGAAAACGCTTAAAATATTGCGTCTGCTGGACCGCACTAAATGCTTCCTTTTGTTACCGTGGCCCTTGACCATACCTCTACCGACGCTAGTGGTAGGCTAAAGGGGACGCCATTACTCCCTCCTCTGCTCATACTTGAGCTATCTGTTTTTTTTTCACATTCTCCTAAAAGGATCACACTCAATGCCGTTCAGATATCGATGAGTGTGCAGAATCCCACGGAGGTTGTTGTAGTGGAAACGCGACTTGCGTCAATAAGGAAGGATCGTACGGATGCAAATGCAATGACGGTTAGTGAAAACTTCTCTTAAAGCTTTCCAGTTCCTAATAACGTCGCGGAGGTGCTTGTTCGCTTTCTCCCGATCCTCCGAAAAAAATTTCTTCCAGGATTTGTCGGAGATGGCTACAAGTGCATGCCAGTGGAGAAACGCGGTTGTACCGAAGCTGAATGGGCTGAGGCCAATTGTGGCAGGAACCATATGTGTACGGTTGATGGCAGTGGCAAGAAAGACTGCGACATGTGCAAAATGGGATTCGAGATGAAAAACGGAGAATGCGTTGGTAAGTCTACTAATGCCTCAAGTGGTAGATACAGCCTGAAAAACTTCTTTCAGACATCAATGAGTGCGCCAAGCCTGGCTTGAACATGTGCGACAAGAACGCCGTTTGCAACAACTTGATGGGAACATACGCCTGTCAATGTAAGAAGGGATTCCGTGGCGATGGATACATGTGTGATGGTGAGTTGAAGTATCTTGGGAGCATAATCAACTGTGCATTCAGCCGATTAAAATTACTAACAGGACCCTTAACAACCCCGCCCCTCCCACCATCGATAGTTGGGTGGTATTAATACGGGTATGGTGGCTGGAAACAGCGTAACTAAAAAAACTTCGCCCATACCCCCCCCCCCCTCCACCAGCGAACCTGCAAAATTTCGTCTGAATAAGGGAATTGCTGGAGTTTTAGAATTTTCTCAACGTTTTGGGAGCTTTTAACACTTCTCAAGAAACTTCCTCTTTAAATTTCTTCCAAAAACACGATGCCATATCGCGAAACCCCTCCAAGGATAACCGAACAGGTCCCCCCAACCCCCGACTCGGCTGAGAGACGGTTAGTCCTGTACTAGATACTTTGGCATACATCCAAACGATCGTTCACTCATTTCAGACGAAGACGAATGCCGAATGATGCCATGTCACCCGCAAGCTGAATGCCACAATAAGCCAGGATCCTTTGAATGCAAATGTCCGGACGGATTTGAAGGTAACTTGTGAGACGGTACTCTACGCGTATAGGGGAGACGGTCAATTCAATCGTCGGCTAATGAGGTCACGCCGCTCACGCGGCGGGCAGCGTCGCGCGCGGCAATGGTGCGGCGATTTTTGTATGGGCCTTGGCTTAACGGTCCTTGTCCATAAGTTGCTGGTGGGGTTAGAGAACTGATAAGACCAAAGTTCCAGACATCAGTGAGCCAACAAGAGTCACCTTAAGATCTCCGCAGTTATTTAAGCCTCACTGTACAGAGCTTGTGCCATGTAAAGGTTGTCCTTTTGAACATAATGAGACTTCTTTATTAATCAACTGCCTGAATTGTTATCAGAGAGCGATAATCTGGCTAAATCGGAAAAATATTACGTTCCAAGACGCAGTGGAACGGTGAGGAAGGCATTAACATTAGTATGACAGAATAAGTTTGTAAATAATGGCAAAGGGACAAGGAACCTGTATTTTAAGGGAGCAGGTGATCATATACCGTGTTTCACGACTGGAAACTTCATCTAATCCTACATTCCCCAATGCTAGAACCCTAAATTCTAGCCACGGCCGACGTCGCATCGCGGGCTGCGGCGGCTGGCGCGGCGACCTAGCCATCGCCACGATTGAATCGTCACGCACCCCCGTATTACCACAGCCAATTTCGCCATTGCAGGAGATGGAGTGAGCAAATGCATAAATCCTCTGGAACACGGCTGCAAAGATATGCAGCGAACTTGTGGCCGAACAGAACACACCGCATGCCTGTCCGTTCGGTTGTTCGACGGATCCTTGGGCAGTGTTTGCGAATGTGAACCCAACTATCGTTTTAACAACGTTACCCAACAATGTGAAGGTAAGGCGGGTTACTCGGCATTTCTATTGATTGATCTCAAGTTAACCTTCTTTTGACTGTAGACATCGATGAATGCGCCGAGAATCGTCACAACTGCGATCCAGCTTCATCGACATGCGTCAATACCGACGGTGGATTCAAATGCGAATGCTACGAAGGATATGAGGGCACTGGTGGTGTCTGCGTGGGTAAGTGGTTGCACAAGATGGCTTACGGGCTTATGATAGAAAAACGATACCATGAATCCATCCAATTGTATCGATTTATTGATTATTTGTCCAGATATCGATGAATGCGAACGAGGTGTAGCTGGCTGTCATAGTATGGCGATGTGCATCAATCAACCAGGTAGCTGTGGATGCAAGTGCGTCCACGGATTCACCGGTGACGGAACTCAATGCAACGGTTTGTCCCAGAAATCACGCATCAATCAATAACGTTTTTTCGTACGTGACCAGACCTCTCGCTTATTGATGTTTTAGCAATGAAACGCGAGTCGAACAACACCTGTACGTCGGAGTGGCAACGCCTTTGCAAGAAAGGAGAACAAGACATGTCATTTGGACGAGGAAGAAGTACCCCAGTGTGGTTCCTGCATTGAAGGGCATCACCTCATCAATGGAACCTGCCAACGTAGGAACTCGAATTTATCCTAGCGGAGTCCTTCAGTTGATAAAAGAAAGGGATTACGGTAAATTTCCGACTTTTCAGCAGAACAAAGTGGCGGCAACTGCGCAGATCCTAGTAAGAATAACTGCGATGTGAACGCCGAATGTATCGATGTCCGTCCAGGACGTCACTTCTGCACATGTAAGGTCGGCTATATTGGCGACGGCATGCGATGTGATGGTAAGTATGAAGTGTTCTCAAAGTTGCATGTTTGCACATTTTCTTCCTGTGGGCTCACGCCTTCTACATCTTCCAGAAGAAGCTCAAGTGATTCTTTCTTATGGCTAAGTTCCGGCGGCAGTCTAGACCGCGACAGTTTTGCCGCGCCGCGGCGCGTGCTCGCATATCCGCGCCGCGCGTGACATTCGCACCGCGGGCGCGGCGCCGATGGGTTCGCATCGCCGCGCGTGCGGAACCGTAGTTCGCCTTCTGACCTGTAGCGGCTAGGCTCTGCTATACGAGGCCTAGGAATGTGCTCGATCGAAAGCGGTCTGTGAAGCTTACTTTTTGAAAGCAATAGCAGATTCACAAAAAAACACATCTTCTGAAATAGACTTCTCAATATCTTTCTTTGGATGGAAAAATGGAGGATTTTTAAGAACAAACTTGGAAAAGAATCCTTAACGAAGCGACGAATCGAACGTTTTTAGTTTGAGAGGGATAACTTTATAAGAACGCTCTCATTTGCGCACAACTTGCACGGTCGTCCTTATACTGAAAGCAACAACCCTGTTCAATTTGGTGGGGTAACAGCGATTGATAATGATGGCGTGGGAAGTAGGTGTCTAGACGGGTTTTTTGAACGCGACCGCATCAATGCGATCAGGCTACCATATCTATCTACCTATCGGCTATCTTATCCCCTACGTCGTAATCCACGTTACGTGAGGGCGAGCGCGAGATATCTCGTCCGAAAGTTCGCATTAGTCGCCATCAGATCACTTTGTAAGGCCCTCGCGCCATTGTCGCGCACTTCAAGCCGCGAAAACGGCTCACGACCTCATACAGGGTTGTTGCTTACGTTGAGCGCTCTTCGAATTCGGATCCTCGAATGATGTATGCTATATGAATGTGTCCCAGTGTTTGCATGTGTCCATGTTTTGTGTCCAGATATCGACGAATGCACTCTGGACGGTATTTGTGATCCGCATGCTACCTGTCACAATTTACCCGGATCGTTTGAATGCACATGCAATTCGGGATATGTTGGCAGTGGAATTATCTGTGAATCTATCAACACCACCAACGGCACAAACACCACTGACAGTGAGACTCCACACTTTCCTTGCACGTTCCCTTCATGGCACATTCCACCACTGAAACGGTGGAGGTTATCGCGTGCGAAAATTGAAGCAAATGTGGTTCTTTGGGTCGATTACTTATCCAAAAGAACAAACGAAACTTCTCAGAAATTTTACATTTAAATTGCATTGATCTTATGGGTGGTACCAGCTCGAGCAGTGGCGCCTTCTTGATTGATTGACCCTCTTCTTGATACGGTAAAACAAGGAGAGGAACTGGAGCTGACCAACAGTGCATCAATGCCGGGCTGGTACCATCCATAGGCCGGCGTCAGACTTCGCGAGTTTGTTATTGCTGATCTCGCGAAGTCTGACACCGGCCATAGGATCAACAAAATGTGAATTTAGAATTCGTTAGCAGCTTTGTTTGCTATTTTTTATTAAGACGTCCCAAAGCACCACATCTACTTTCCATTTCGGGCGTGATAGCTCCCAATTATCCAATCGTGGAATGTGCCTTTAAGTACTCAAATGGCATGAAAGATTATGGATGTGTGGTTTGCACCCAATCTTGCACTTTCAGGTGAGCATGTACCAAAAATAGCCTTCTTCGTGTTCCAGGGCCAAATTGTCATTTGGACACAAGACTCTGCCACACGAATGCTGATTGCATGGCGGACGGTATTTGCAAGTGCCGCCGTGGATATGAAGGAGACGGTATCCAAAACTGTAAAGGTAAGTAGGACAGGCTTTCAGAAGACCAGGAAACATTTTTGCACGAGCACTATTCAGAAGTCATCAGCACAAATGTTACGTTTACCTCCACCACCAGCACCGTGGTCACCACGTCAACACCGACGGCGCTTACGGGAGTCATCAGGGAGATCGACGAGAACGAGGTTGTTGAACTGATACCTGGTGACACACACCAGAAGACGACCACATTGAGGACGTCGTCAAAAGGCCCTGGTAAGCCATACACTGCACGTGTCTTTAGTGTAGGATTTCAGAGCTCTACCGTCGAGCCTACTTCTTCCACGTCCTCACTCACCATCGATCATGATCGAAATCACACCACTATCAGCACTTCGATTCCTCCAAGCACCACCATCCATTCTACATCTCACATTCACGAATCAAGCACTAAACCGACTGAAACTGAAAGCAGTACAGTCAGCACTGTATCAGGTATACCGACAACTCGAACGTCTTTCATAACCAACTCTAACCTTACGAGTGATGGTGCTAAACAAACAACAACAACAAGTGTCTTTACTAATCAACCACATGGAATTCACTCCACTGCCGACGAGCTATCAGCCACAGCTTCGCCTTCGAGTAATTCAAGAGAGGTCACAAGTTCGATGATCATCTTTTTGAAAAGTTCACCAGGAACATTTCTGACTCTTGGGCACCAACTGAACACAACCGAGTCACCAACACCGCCTGACGAGGAACTGCTCTCGTCAAGAGTTCTGCAGAGGGAATCCACCACTGCGCAAACTCCCACGCTATCTTTTGGAACAACTCCAGAATTCACTCTGGCGTCCGATTCGACGTCTAACACCATAATACTTAGCAGTCATACTAAACCAACTACTAACGCCCTCGTAACTAAAACGACGTCATTATCTTCTTCGACAGTTGCGACAACCGATGCAGGAGTCACGGAAATGAACCGTTTCCCAACTGTTATTACTTCCCAGCTTACATCGGAACAATCGCTTTTCCCAACTCCGGAAGAGCTGACTTCCAAAGAAATGGCCAATTCCATCGACCGTGAAACTACTGAATCGGCCATTTTGAAATCTGGCTCTTCAACAGAAGAGGGGTCTGGGGAAGATGAGCAGACCACGATAGAAGCTCATTTGAGTGAGAGCACGACTCCTTTCGAAAATGGTCCCTTCCGTAGCTCATCTGCAACTGAAAAGTCTCTTCCTGGAAACGCTACCATTACTGAATCGCCGACATCCCCATCTTCTGGTGGCAGGGTGACGACTCCACGAGAAACTGTTCTCAAAGCTTCCCTCAACGTCTCCACAACGCCAGGAGAACGTACCGTAACGAAGACTTTCAGAAGTTCTTCGTCTTCGCCGGTAACCGTAATTGTAACTGGTTCCACTGATGGTGAAACGCCTCTCCAGACAACCGCGACCACTCACTTTCACGTCGGCCCAACCGAACATCCGACTACTGGCCCTCCTGATAAGGCCGCTATATCGACAGTTTCTTCGGAAGGAGTGCCAAGACCTGACAGTACTACTGAAGAGCCATTACTCACTTCGAATGAGGCGATTACTGTAGTATCGTCGTCATTGACAGAAGCGGCACCAGAGACTTCTAGCCCCGTAGCCGAAACTTCTGTTGCTTCCACTAGAGGACATAGGATTAGTTCAACTTTGAATAGCGAACCACCCGTAGTCCACAGTAGTACCACATCAACATCCCCAGCTGTTTCAGAACCAACCCGTGAAAGTGTCGTTCCTACAACTACCGAAGGCTCAGGAAAAGCTCCTCCTCCTTCAACAACGCCAAAAGAGTTCGCGTTCCAGCGCCACTGATAAACCAGATAGGGCAACCACGGCTACTCCATTAGACGTCAGCACAATTGAGAAGCCTAGTACTGACATTCTGAAGAGCTCACAACTTCGAAGGCGGCCTCCACAGAAGAAGGATCATTAAAGGTTCACAACACAACTGAAGAACCAGTACACGCTTCAAGTGAGGTGTCTTCGCTGACAACTGCAGGTTTCACCGAAGAAACATCAGAGCTTTCTACTCTGGAGGTCGAAACGTCTGCTGCCTTCACGAAAGCGCACAGAGGTAGTCAACCAACCAGTGAGGTGCCTTTGGTACATAGCAGTACCACTCTACAACCGGGAGAAGGTCCAGACCTGACTAGTGGAACTGTAGCCACATCAACTACTGGAGAGGCCAATTCTACTTTTTCACCCGCCACCGAAGATTTGAATTTTACCGAAAATGAGAAATCTTCCCAAGCAACCGCTGCCACTCCGCTTGATGTCAGCACGACTGGGGAGCACAGCACCGATATTGCAAAAGAAATCACGGAAGAAACACCACTTTCCACCTTAGAAATCGAAACTTCCATTTCTACTACGGAAGGATTCGGAGACGGTTCAACCCAAACCACAGAATCATCTGGCAGCAGTAGCACAGCGGAACCTAAAAAGGCTTCTGAGGTCGGCGAAACTGTGGAAAATACCACCACAGATGGGTTACGGACAATCTCTGTTTACTTTTCCTCCCCAAAGGATACGTCTGAGTCCACGGAACAAGAACAAAAGACTACTGCTCCTCTTGAAGAAAGCACCGTTGCACCCACTGTCC